CAACAGCAATAGCAAGTGTAAGTCCGGACACAAAATTGATGAAGAACTCCCAAATGCTGAAGCTGTCCTCTTAGTATTTGATGTCTGCTCTTACTGGATCCAGAGTTTCATCAAATACAGCAGATGGCTGGGGAGCACTTCCAATATCAAGGCAGCTAGATTTGTTTCAACAGCGTAATGAAATTTTCTAATATTACAAAACAGTTTTATATATACATACATACATACATACATACATACATATATATATATATATATATATACACACACACACACACACACGGTAAGTCTAAAATGACATCAGTGCTACTGGTGTCATTTACTTACACCAGTTCGTTTGGGGTACCTACGGTGCTCTGTTTGTAAAAATGACGGTTCCTACCCCCCCTAACCCTCCCCCTAAACCCCCCACCCCATCCCCACCCTAGCCCCCCCTACTGCCAGGGGCGGGAGGGGGGTTTAGGCCTTTAGGGGAGGGTTATATATATANAAACTTGTTTTACTGATTTACAACTTTTTTATTTTGATAAGATTCAACTCTTTAAATCCATGGAGTTACAACAACAACAACAACAACAACAACACCAACAACAACAAACCACAATAATCCCAACTGCGTTGGGGTCTAGGGGTTAAAGATGCACACAACCTTACCCTTATAAAAACAGAGAGGTTGTTCTAGACCCATGACGCGTTGCTGCATTTACTTCATAAAATTCCCTACTTATATTTCTATATTTTATTTTATTTGGTTCAATTAAATCTAACATATTGACCTTGTTTTTTATGGGTAGGATTTCATTGGGGTTGTTGTTGTTGAGCTTGTTTTTATTTATTTATTGGAATATTACATAAACAACTAGTGATGGCTTATGAAAAATGAAATAGGACTTGTTTATGGGAAGAGATGGATTACTAATACATGTTAAGCCATACGTAATGCACTAATGCTCCATAACGGCTTTGGAATAACAAATGTTTACGACTTTTCAGGCACAACATACTTCATAAATGCGTGAGAGAGCTGGGGATAGAGAAGTAAGTCAAATGAAAAAAATATAAATTTGTCCATTTATGCATCTATATTGGACACTGGAGAAGATTGCTGTAATCTAGTCAGTCCATTGATGCTTAAGTGCTAACAAATGTGCACAGAAGTTCTACTGGAGCTTATTCACGAACCGGGAAAGAACAAGATTCCTTTGATAAGGTATTACATTCCCTGTATATGTCAATTTATTTTGATTCATAGCCCATTTTGTTGAAGCTCTATGTTTGATTTTTGTTTTTTAGGCAATGGAGAGCGTTGAAGAAGCTCTAATCAGGCTAGAGGGATTGCTTCAGGAGCTGCACGTGTCAACCCCCGGTAGTGGAAAGGAGCATTTAAAAGCTGCTTGTTCTGACCTTGAAAGGATAAGAAGACTTAAGAAAGAGGCAGAATTTCTCGAGGCATCTTTTCGAGCAAAGGAAGCTTCCCTGGAGCAGGTTCTCTCTGCGTGCCATTGAAGAAATTCGTATTTTGTTCAAGCCTTTCTTCTGCCAAAACAAAATCAGAAAGAATAAAATAAATTCTTTAGAGATGCCAATTCACCACTTCATTATCTTCTACCGAAACCTTTTATGTATGAATATGGTGTCACATTAACTTAATAAAAAAATAAACTATGTGGTCATTATAATTGAATTAAATTTCAGAAATGAGATCTTTATATTTTACATGTCAATTTTTTCCATCCACTATTAAGAATACAAAAAAAAAAGGTTTTCTGACTATCAATTCTCCACAGTTATTTGGTTCTTTGTTACAAAACTGTCAATTGGGCTTGAATTTTTAGCATAAATATGTGAATTCAAACTATCCATGCCTTGAAATTCCGAGTTGGTCTATAACTTTAATTTGAAAGGTTTGCTTTTACATTTCTGCTATTGGATTTAATACCCAATTGACAGTTTTGCAATGGAGGATAACATTTCTGTATCGGTATATAATATATGAAATTATGAATGATTAAATTTTGGCTTTGCAATGAATGGCTAGGGGGATGCAGCAGCTTCTTCTTCACCTTTAATTAATGAGTCAAGGCAATGTTCTGAAGACAAAAACAGCACAAGAACTAATAATACAAGCAACATGTAATTGATAATTGTGTCCTGCATTAGAATACTAGTTACATACAGTGCTCCATGGTTTCATATTAAAATTCAATAATGTTTTTTTTTCAGGGCAAGTGCTTTAAGGGGCTTCTTGTTACGTAAACCTAACAAAGCCAGAGATGATCCATCATCATCTGCCACAAGAAGTGTATGCCCTACACTTTGGTGTCGAGACTCTCTCATACTTTGCTCATTTGCTAACCTATTAAAATCCATTTCTGCAATTTGTCAGAAAAAGCAAAATTCTGCACGCCAATAACTCTGTTTCTAAATTTCTGGCAAATATCACTTAAAGACTTGAGTATCAACCTTCTTTAAAATCTGATCTAGGATGATGGAAGAGTTGAGCACGGTGCAGCAGAGAACAATGGAACAATTGTCTCAAAATCAGATGATTTTCGTCGTTATGAAACTCTACAAAGTGAGCTAGTTGAACTCGAGAGGCGCGTTCAAGAAAGCACTGATCATGATGAAGATGAAGACGTATTTCCTGTTTTTGCTATTACTTGGTATAGTGATATTTTTTAAACAATATGGTTGATTCTTATGCATTTAACTTAGGAGATGATTCAGATGGTGGCAGAAAAGGCAAAACTGGTTCGTAATAAGAAGAAAGAAAGCATCATTGGGAATTCTTTGGACAAGCTAAAAGAGACCAGCACAGTATGATTCAATCCCCTTTCTTATCTGAATTTGGGAAAGAGGGAAAGTATGCAATTAATTGCGCAATTTCATTTGTTCAACGAAAGGAATCAATGGCCCCGGTTAGCAAAATTATCCTTCTCGATTATGGCATACTTTAATTGTGGATTGCGAGCAATCCATATTCTCCTTACTAATAACAATAATAATTTATGTGTCTGCTTCCCTTCCACATCATATAGAGAGTGGATTATGGTTAATTTCATTACACTCCAACACCCCCCCCCCCAACCCAACCCAAAAAAAAGAAGAAGAATAGAAGGTAAAAAGTATTACTCCCTCCGTCCCACAAAAAAGTTCTCATTTTGAATAGTATTTAGTCAAACATTTACACGCTTTGACTACAAATTGTGAGAAAAGTATATTGAATTATTAAATAAATTTAATATAATTAGATTAATCTTAGGATCTAGTTTTGATATCTCAAATTTTTTGTTGACATTTCTTTATTTAGATTATATTTAATTTATGGTCAAAGCGTGTAAATGTTTGACCAATTTATGGTCAAAATGGGAACTTTTTTGTGGGACGGAGGGAGTATTTGAGTGTATAATTTTTTGTTTTTACCCAACTCAGTTAAGATGCAAGCTTTACAAGTTATGACTTATGAATGAACACTTGCATCCCTAAGATTTATTTCCAACATTGTTTGGAGTGATTGACAAACCACTTGCCATCTGCCTTTTGAAACCAGTTACCAGACTCCTTTTTTGGGACAATTTTTTTAAAGGGATGCTTTTAGGACTGTGAGAGTATTCAATCTCTTAAACTTGTAGATACTATGCATGTTTAGTTACTGTATAGAATGTATATTTAAATGGATGTTTATTCATAAATAGGATGTTTGGGAGGGCACTCAGCTTCTTGCTATTGATGTTGCTGCGGCTACTGAACTACTTGCAAAGACTGTTATAAGGCATGATGAACTGACAGAAAAAGAAAAACAAGCACTCAAGAGAACCCTAACTGATCTAGCATCAGTTGTCCCAATTGGTTTTCTTATGCTACTTCCTGTAAGTACTTCATACTTCATCAACTTGTCAAGATACTCTAGAACTATTAAAAAATGGAATACTTTATTCTTGTAACATAAAGAGAAAAAGGGATAAGAAAACTAGAGACATTATATTCTAACGGAAAAGACTTCCTTTGCAGGTCACTGCAGTTGGGCATGCTGCCATGTTGGCTGCAATTCAAAGATATGTACCGGCACTTGTATGTATCTCTAGGCGTGATTCGTTTGTTCTAGTGCTTTACTGCATCCATTTGGAACGTGAAAACTCCAGGGAAAGAAAAAACAAATGAAAATAGAGAGGAAGGTTGGAATGGAATAAAAATGGAGGGAGATAAAAGGATTTGATGCAAACACAATAAAGAAATTTTACAAATCTGTCTGTACTCATTTTTATTAATGTCATTCTATTATATAAAGACTAACAAATCTAAATTCATGTATAATCTTAAAAAAATATACTAATCTAGTTCAACTTTCCTTTGTATTATCAAAAGCAAAACCATGCACAAATTCATTTTCCTTGGAATTTCCTCCCAACCATTTTCAGCATTCCAAACATAGCCTAAATGTCTTCTTTTCCTCTTCTGTTTCAGATTCCCTCCACATATGGACCAGAGAGACTAGCCCTCCTTAGACAGCTCAAGAAAATGAAAGAAATGGAAGCCGAGGCAACTCCCATTGAAGAAATGCTGTAATACTTTTTCCCTCCCGGATTTACCAAGGTAATTGATAAAAATCATCAAATTGACTTGGTTCTGAATCCCTTCAATAATAGCTCGGCGTAAAGAAGTTCATTCCAAGTGTCTGGCACCCCAGGCAGGCACCAATGGCTGCAGTCTTCCGGTGCATCAAGCGGGGTGCCTGGTTCACGATGGTTTGAAGGGTGACCATCTTTCCTAAACCCACTTAGATATGTAATATTTAAGTAAGAAACATTCCTTCCCGAGGTTTTCATTTGGTTGACAATGTTTGAGATGTAAGTATTGGTCATTGGGTTTTCGCTTGGTCCCACACGATCTGTTTCAGGTGCTGTGTTTGCATGGCAATTGCCGCCTGAGTTCCACTCTCCATTTCTGCAAAAACAAGATAACTTTAAATCTTTATTGTTCCGATACTAACTGATATTGTAACACGATTTCCTTATTTATACAGTGGTCTTGCCTGTAATGGACTGGAGAATAGCTGCGGAAGATGACATGGGTCTCTGAGGACAAATTGCTCATTGCCCAAAATGCCCATGGGTTCAATGATCTACGGAAAGCCTCTGTTGCATTCATAGTCATGTGTACATCTTCGCCTTCCTGGAAATAAATGCCCCTGCAATTCCAGAAATCGTTACTACGTAAAATTTAAAGTATTCTCTCTCACTTGTGTCCTACCCAAGTTCTTGTTTTTTACAGTGGAAGAAGTCTCATGTTTCCAAAAAAAGTTGCGTTTTCACCCCTGGTATTTCCAGTGTATAACAACGCATTATCCATGCACGACGTTGAATTCACAGAGTATCACGATATTGTTGTGAGGTCTTGTTTCATGTTTTTCATATTATTTCACTAGAGCACTAATGTTTGTGCATTATGTGGGACATCAACCAGGTTTTATGGATTAAGGTTCTTGTTCTTAATCACTTACATCTTGTGTGTCTTTTCTTCATTCCACCAATGTCCCGCGCTAAACATGAGAACATCTGCCCCAACTAGCTTGCTGAAGTACCAATGGAGGTCGTCAAGTTTTAGAACACCCTTCACTTCCTCAGATACATTTTTCGGGGGTCGACGTACGGGGACTAGAAAAGGAACCCTGTAGTACTCGACCGTGAGGTTGAATTCGTCGAATCTCATGGAGAGATAGCCTTTGTGTTTGGATATTGAGTTTCCGAATTGTTCGCATATGGTTGATTGGTTTGCCACTCCTTGTGCCAGCATGCATAGTAATGATTCCCATTGGTTTCTCACAATGGAGTCCCCCACGAATACTATTCGCCCGTTTCGACTTCGACTCAATAGATCGCTTGCGTTAAACCTGCGATAACCAACACAACGTATTAAAATGTCTTTATATGGGGGAGAATTGAATCTCAAAGTACAGCTCTAACGAATGTAAAGGAGATATCAATGATGTGAGAGTGTGGACATGATATATATACCAATAATGCCATGGTAACTATTGGCATAGTATAAACATTAAAGGGGTCAAGGGGATATTGTCATGTATTCATATTGTGGGATATTGGCAAGAAAACTATCCCAAATGGGACTCTTCCAAATAAAAATAAAAATTGGATTGATAGATATATTTTGGATGAAATATTAGAAAGTTGGGAAACTTTTCCTTTGGCTTGAGTGGTAGGAATAAAACTCTCTAAAATTCATGGAGAATTTTGTCCGGGTTCGGGTTCGAGTCTCAGCCGAGGTGGAGACATTAAGGGGGGTGTATTCAATTCAGACTTTAAAAGATTTTGATAGATTTGTTAGAATCTATAGATTATATAAAATCAAAAGATTATTTTCAGTTTACGCAAAATTAGAGAGATTTTAACATAGATTTTGATAGATTTGTTAGAATCCATTTACTTTTTTTTCATTCTTCTTTGTTTCTCTGTTTCTTAACCCGACTCCAATTGTTTTTCTTCCCCTCTCCTACGCCCCCTTCTTCTTCTTCTCCTTCTTTTTTCTTTCTTTTTCTTTCTCCTCCTTCTTTCTCTTCTCTCCTTCGTTCCTCCTCCTTTATTTCTCCTTTCTTTCTTTCTCTTCTTTCTCCCCTCCTCCTCCTATTTATTCTTCTTCTTTCTCCTCTTTCTTCAAATTTCCCTTCTTCTCCATCCCCGTCCATCGTCATCCCTGCCGCCGCCGGCGAGCCTATGTCCTTCGTGGAAGGATTGAATCTGGCTTCCTTCCCTCCGGGAAGGATTGAATCTGGAACAGGAGCTAAAAACCTGAAAGATTGAGAATCTGGCTTCCTTCTTAGAGCTCCACGGAAAGAGAGGAGTCTAGCAACGGATTGAAGAAGAGATGAGAAGATGAAAAGTTGTCTAGTGCTATGCCGACGGATCGAAAAAGAAGATGAGAAGTGGACCTAATTAGTGCGGAAGAAAGTCTGGCGAAATCCTAGGGTTTTCAAATCTGGAATTATATTAATAAGTGAGGCATGAAAATCCATATAATTAAAAATCTTTACAAATCTATCAATCTTTGAATACTGTCATATTTGGAAGGATTTTTTAAAATATAGATTGAATACAGTCATATTTTAAATGATTTTTTAAAATCTGAATTAAATACCTACAGATTTTCAAAATCTAAAACAATCCATCAGAATTCTGATTGAATACACCCCCTAATTTATTGTGTGGGGGAAAACTATAAACAAATAGTACATTGTAATCGAGTTAATACCACTTAAAATAAAAAAAGTTGGGTGATAATAAATGTGTAGTAACTAGTAGGTGACAATAAAATCCCTTGAACTATTGTGAATGCTCTTGTGCATTATTGCCAAAAGTCAATAAAATGTACCTCAATAAAGGGCTTTAACCGTCCATTTTAATACTCATTATATTTTACCTTTTTTAACCATATTCTCGTTCAATTTCCCTTGGTGCAATGAATGTGGAGAAGGATTATAATTTATCTATAATCTTTTATAGCCTTCATTCATAATTACTCCATATAGTTATTTCCAAATTAAATTCCCCTTACTAAAGCACCTTAATCTGCAAATAAAGAAAATAATAATACTCCATAATAATAATAATAATAATCATAATAATAATAATGGGTCTGTTTGGGAATAGCTTTAGAGATTAGCGTTAGCGTTTTGAAAAGGCTATCTACGGCCAGCGTTTAGCGCTAGCATTTTCAAAGTAATCTGCACCGTTAAAATCTTATCCAAAACGCTAACGCTAATCTCTAACGCTATTCCCAAACAGGCCCAATAACAACAATAACAATAATAATACTCCCTCCGTCCCTAAATATTTGCCACACTTGTATTCCCAAGGCAAAATATCAAACTTTTTCAATTCATTTTATTTACATATTGGTATGGAAATAAAAAATAAAATTTACATATCAAAATACTATATGAAAAGTTCTTCGAAATAAGAGGTGTCAAGAATATTTTATTTTATCAAATAACCAATGAAAACGTAGAAATAAACAAAAGTTCCCGCGACTGCTGAAAAAGCAAATGTTGTGAATATTTTGGGACGGAGGGAGTAATAATCATAATAATCATAATAATCATAAAAAATTGGTGAATGGGAAAAAAGATCAATTTTTTTTGAAGGAGATTGATTCAAATAATGCAAAAAAGGGGATGGATGCTTTTCTCCCTTTTCAAAGTTTTATGAAAAAAAGAAAGAAGAGCATAGTAATAAATTTCATTGTATCTTACCTAGGAAGATGACAAGCTTGTGGTTTCCACCTCCATTTTTGATACTCGGAATCCCGGCGGCCGCTGCGTTGACATCGGAAACCGGGGTCCAGGAACGGGCAGTTCTCGGTATATTTTTCCCGGGAAAGAACGTCGTCCCGGACCCATTCCCCATAAGAGTAATCACAAGATTTGGAGTGTGGTGTGATTGGGGTTTGGTCATTTCCATGCCTGGGAAAGATTTGGTTGAAGAAGGCAATGGTTTGGGGGTGAATGAATATGAGGCAATAAAAAGCAAAGGAAGTGAAGGGTATGGAGAGGAATAAAAGTGCATGAAGAATGTTTTTCTTATTGGTTGGGAGAATATTTATTGGGAGTTTGAAAAACAGCAAAAACCCCTTTGGTGGATAATCCATTGCAAGAGGTAGGGGGGGAAAATAAGGGGGGATTTTTGTGGTTTTATTCAAACCATTCTTTAATTAATTTGTATGTGGCTTTGATTTCTTTCTATATGTTAGTTTCAACAAGTGGTGGGGGGGAGAAAGAAAAAAAACAAAGTAAAGGGATTTGATGGTTTGATTCAATTAATTGCTTTTTTTGCATAAAGAAAGTAAAGTAAATCTTGCTTTATTTTCAATGCAATTTGGAAAATAAAACTCCTTTCCAAAAAAAAATCGTGTTTGTACACAAACTACTTTTTTTGGTACATGCACACAAGCTACTTTTTTTTTGAAACAACAAAATATTGATTAATCATTCAAAAAAAGGACAAGAAAGTTGGGAAAAAAAAGTTGAAAATACATTTTCGTCAATAAAAATATTATTATTTTTAGACAATTTCCAACAACAACAACAAAGTCTTAATTATTTTTCCTAGGGGTAATTGTTATTGATAAAAAATAATATTGGAATAGATTTTTTTTGACGGTATGAGAATGGGTTAAATGAGTTGAATTTAATAATTCAATCAACAAATGTATTTATAGTTAATGATTTCCAATAATCGGCATAATTTTTTTTCTTCTGAAACAATCCAATCGTTATTAATTTAGTAAGGATGACTGTTTTTTTGGAAATACTAAATTTAAGTTCTCTCTCTGTTCATAAGTTAAATTCTTAGTTTGAACGTATTGAATTTCAAAAAATTGTTCGCTTTTGAACAACATGCAAAATATAATCTCTTTTTTACTTACAATTGGTATAGAAATAAAAATTACATCTAAAATTCTACGAAATAAATGATGATATGACTATTTTGTTTAATCAAATGATGATCAATGGAAATTTTTGTGTATCAAATTTTCTTTTTCTTAAAAAAATTAAAGAAATATGAAGCTTATTTTAGATGAGACAAAGAGAAAAGTGTGAATTTAATCCAAAAACATAGTGAGTACTTCCTCTATTTCAAAATTAAATTAACACTTTTTATCGGTTTTAAAATAAAATTCACATTTTTTTCTATTTACTTTTTAAGAAATAGATACGTGGCACCCGCATAATATTATTCTTAGTTTCTTACTCCGTATCATATTATTTTCATTATTGTATTGTTATCATAGTTGTTATCTTATTATAATTAGAACTCTTTCATGCAATCTCTATGTATAATGATGTATCTTTCATTATTCAATAAAACTAATTATTACTCCGGGGTATGAAATTGTATCAAAATTATTACTACACATTTTAGAAAAAAACTGTCAAAGTCAAAGAATGAATTTAATTCTGAGAAGGATGATGTATATTATTATTCCTCGTATTATTTATTGGTTTGCTTTAAGAAGGCATGTTTACCTATTTTGTTTTTCCCTTTCCTTCTTTACGTAAGGGGTATGGGCAGTAATTCTTTCCAAAATCCATAATCATTCTTGATGTATTTTCTTCTTCCTATAAATATGTTTCCATTTTGACTTTTAGAATATTCAAGAGAGAGATAATTTTGTGTTGACTTTTCAAAAATATTATTGATGTGATGCATGCATAACAGTAAGACCCGATATATAGATTATCAGTAAAAATGTATGATGTAATAGGTAGATTAAGAATTAATAAGGGTAAACGTGGTTTTTAAATAGAAAAGAGAAAAATTTTGTAGGACAACAAAAAAGAAAGCATATATTTTTTTTCCTACAATTGTAACTTGTAAGTCTAACATTTTTTATTTCTTCAAAACTGTGCTTAGAAAAATATATATACGGAGTAGAAAGAAAGGATAAATTGAAGACCGTAACATGGGATGTGATTTATTTTATTTTACTTTCCATGATTAAAGGATCTACTATAGATTTATTTGTTTTCCTAATCCCAAACAATCCCACGATTTTAACCTAACTTTTTTTACCATTGAAGTTGAATATTTTCAAAGAAGTAAAAAAAAAGAACTTTATCTGTGGACTTTTTTTATGAATTCTACTCTTGTTGTCCCTAAACATTATGATTTTGTTTAATTGAAAATAGTCAAAATAGAAAAATACACTTTAAGCTCTAGGTAATTTCTTCCGCAAACCTAAAGCTCATATTTATTTTTGGAGTCAAAATTTGACTCCAAAGTCAAAATCGACTTGTGGGGTGCAATTGAAGGGGATGGGGGGATGTGTTCGGGTCGAGGCAGGGTAGGAATCGTCAATTTTACGAACGGAACACCGGAGCGCCCCCGAGTCATCCCATGACATTGGTTCCCAATGTCATGGGAACCAAGGTGCAAAAAAAACAAACACATTAAGCATCACCCTAAACTCTAAGGGGGTGTTTGTTTTTCTGCCAGAAGACCTTCTGGCGTCTTTTGTCTGTGCCGCGCAGACGCGCGCAGATGATGGACTCTGCAGATTGTTTGTTTTTTGGAAGACATTTCACTCAAAAAGGTCTTCCTGGCATCTTCTTGGAGAAGACATTAACCAATGTCTTCTAACATCTTCTCCTTTTTTTCTACTTCTCTTCACCACCACAACCGTCCACCGCCACCGTCCACCACTACCACCGTCCACCATCACCGTCA